GCAGATCGGATGAACCTCGTCCTCGTCGAGGCTGAAATTGACGGTGCCGTCGTGATTGCAGCAGGGATTTCGCAGCCACACCACGACCTAACACAAGATATGAGAATACCCTAGGAAATCAAAAGCGCAGGCATCAACCCACCATAGGAAAAGCAACATCAAAACCCACCCAAGCCCCATAAATCAACCGGTGGATCCTCATCGCCAACCACTGATGGACCCAAGGAAACCCAATCTAACACCGAGACTAAACAAACACCAACACAACACATATATAAAAGTAGAACTAAAAAAGAAACAACTAACAAAATACCGGGATCAAAAGGAAAGATCGACATAAAAGAGCCATTCTTTTAGCCACCGACCAAAACACGCGCTCCAACAATCCATCGGAGATAGGAAGCCATCCTAGCGAACCACCCACAGAAACAAGTGACTTGAGATTGCAAGGAAACCATCCTCGTGTACCGCAACATTGGAGCAAAACCCTAACTCTGATGAACAGAGAGATTGCTACTTAAGGATATATTTTTTTTGAGTGCATATGTATTATTAGAGTGTATTATTTGCATAATAGGGAAAGGAACCGAAAGTGGGCCTTCTTGTTATCAAAATGAAGATGAGTTTGCCTTACTTGGCCTAAAGCATCTATGTGTGTATTTTTCTCTAGTAGTGAAGGAAATAAGTAGAAGATGTAAATGGGTTCTTCTAATGTTTTGTTTGTTTGGACGTCAAAATATTTTTCAGAAAATATTTTTTTTATTTTTTTGATATTTGATTGTTGTAAAATATTTATGAAGAAAAAAAATATTAAAATTTAACAAAAATAACTTATTTATCAATTTTTGAAAAGTTATTTTACATGCCTCGCCCGATGGATTCGACCTCAACCTCGATGTAGACCTTTGTCCAACACCGACAAAGTAAAAATAAAAAAATATTTTACCTAAAAAAAATATATTTTTTCAAAAAGAATATTTTACGTGGAAACAAACTGAGCCTAAATAGCTGATAGAGTGGGAAAGAATGTTGAGAGTTCATTGTGTATGTGCATTTGCAGATACATGAAGGAAAGAAAGACGAAGCCTTCACCCTAGGAAAATGCCTTTCATCTCTTTTCACTTTCGAAGACGACTCGACGACAAGTTAGTCGCAAGCTTGGAGAGTGTATTTTGTCCTTTAAGTTGTGACCTTTTTCGTCATTTTGTAAAATCATATTTTTTTAAAATATATATATTTAAAATACTTATATAACGGTAATTTGAACAAAGTCTAACTTTAATGTGTCAGGGCTTATTTGCACAATTTGTTTACTCTAGTTTGTACACATAAAGTGTGTGATACATACGGTAAGCATATAGTAAAATGATATTTTCTCTACTTGACTTGAAAAAGAATAATGATTTAATATCAGAGCAATATCTTAAACCCATGGTAAATACTTCGTTTTAACTCTCCGTCCATAAGAAAAATCTTAATCATTCATTACATTGTCATTAAAACTTTTATTAGTTGATCATCCCAAATGGACAATACTTGGGTCCTTTCTTCCAAGAATAAAGTTCATCCTCAGCTAATGTGGCACAATACAATTTAGACATGTCTTTAAAAAATTTAAAAATAATCAATATTCATTTTCTCGTAAATCTATTGGGTATGGAGATTTATGGGGAGAAGAGAGGGGGGAAGGCAGAGAATAGAGTCTTGCTAAAAGAGAGATTCTAAAATTTTCAAGTAGGAAAAAAAAAAATTGGGTTAGATTTAACGCATAAGAAGTTGGATAATAACCATTATTAAAAAATTTAAAAATTTGAACATGTGTCTAAATTATATATAAATATTTGAAAAAATTTAGACATGTGTCTATATTGTATTAGGTTACATCAACTCGATGGATAAAATTCAACCTAATTCAAATAATCATCCAAATACTTTTCACAATCAACATAATTAAGAAACCAATAAGTTTATCAACCAACCCTAAATCTTATACGTTCAATGTATTAATTCTTTCTTCTTCATCATCATCATAAAATCTTTGCTTATATAAGATTGTTGAACATTTTAAGCTTCAACCTTTTCCTTTTCTTTTTCTTTATTCATGTAGTTTGCCATGTACTTGAATTCTTCTCACACGAAGAACAACAAGAATGATTCAATATATCTGAAATATCTATACAGAGAGTCTAGATCTCTTGCTCACAAGATAATTTATCTACGTGTTTTTATATTAATAGAAGTTTCCATTAGAAAAATTCAACATTATTTTAATCAAAATATCAAATCTGTTCATTCGAATCATTCCTTCATCAATACATATACTCATATTTTAAAGTGTTACTTTTTCAAAAAGACAAAATATGACCGTTAGAACGGTTCATATAGAAAGTATAGATTAATTTTCTTATTTTACGATGAGTAAGAGATCACAACTTTGAGTAAGAAAATTTATTCACATTTTGTAAATAGACCACTAAATTAAATCTAACGGTGCACTTACAAACCCACTAAATTATTTCCTTTTACTTAAAACCACTGTTAGTCTATTTTAGTTTTCAAACCTAAGAGTCCTAATACCACCTATTTTAATAATTAAGGCAATTACCAAAATTGCAAAATTCTTTACACGACTCTTTTTCACAAAAATATGTAATTTAGGAAGAAAAATAAAATCAGCTCTCTTTCACTATCCTTGCTCACAGGTCTCTCACAAAGCCTATGATTTACTTGGAGATTTTTTGGAATAAAAATCTGTACCAACTGAATTTAGGAAGAAACAAAAATAAAAATAAAAAATAAAAATCCAGCCATGATTGTCATAGGTCACTCTCTCAAACATTCTACTATTTTCAAGTCATGATGGTCTTACTCACAAGTCTCTCTCAATCAAAGAAATTCTTGATCTCTTCTTCCAAATTTGTTTTGTTATGAAAAATTACTACCGCTCAACCTCCTTTGTGGATGTTTATCTATCACTAATTCAATACATTGACTCTCACTCTTGTTGATTTTTTTTTCCCTAAATTCGATTGGCTCAAATTTTGGTGAAAAGAGTTGAGTAAAGAATTTTGATAGTTTTGGTAATTGCCTTAATTCGATTGGCACAAATTTTGGTGAAAAGAGTTTAAAGAATTTTGATAGTTTTGGTAATTGCCTTAATTATTAAAATAAGTGGTATTAGGATTCTTAAATTTGGAAACTAAAACTTGGCTGAGAGTGGTTTTGAATTAAAAAAAAAAGAAGAAAAAGAAGAAGTAAGGTTAGAATTCGACCGATTGATTTAATTTAATAACCTAGGTACAAAGTGTGGATAAATTTTCTTATTCACCTATAAACAGACTCTTGTACATCTGTCATATTTTATCTTTTCGAAAAAATAGCACTTTAAAATATATGGAGTAAATGTATCGAGGAAGGAATGAACCGATTTGATACTTTGACTAAAATAATGTTGAATCTTTCTAATGGAAACTTTTATTAGTATAATATATATATATATATATTATATTTCCTAATTTGTTCAAAACACGACTTGAATATTATGGGTACCATATAAATAGTCACTAAAGCCACGTTTTTTAACTAAATATCTCAAAAGGATAGGAAGAAATAAAATACTCCCGAACTTTTTATGTGCATATGCATTTATTACATGCACTGCAAAGGGAATTACCAACTAAAGAGAATCATAATACTAAGAAATAGACAAATAACCATATATAATTTGTTTGTTTATTATTAGTATTTATTTTGAATCAGTTGTAGATTACAATCTTTTTTGTGCTTCCATGGCCATGAAAAATTATAAATAAATAAATTATTATTATTTTTTAATTTTTTTCTTAAAATGTGTATAGGTTTCACAACATATTCTCTATTTAAGTTAGGTATACGATTTGAAAGCAAGATTTTAAAGATTTATTTTTAGAATTTCTATCAACTTCGTTGTATCCCTAAAAATAATAAACAAGTAAATGAGAAGACGCTATCATTGAACTTTTTATGAAGTATTCATGCTATAACTTTGTCTATCACAAATATTATATATGTATAGAGAGAGAGAGAGACTGTGGACCAGGTAATAGAAGGCACCTAAAAATGGTCCTAACTTCTAATGAGGATTATGAGGGTGACCATACCTTCTAGTTCCTCTTGTACTTTAGACTTTACTATTCAATTTACATTAAAAAGGAAAAAAAGAATAAAAAACAAAAACAAAACAAAAAACACAAGAAATTTTGTTATGGGGTGCAATTACTTGGACATACATATATTTTTCACGAGTTTGGACAACTATTTTTAAAAGTTAGATTAGGTTTGACTTAAAAATTTTCATTCTAAACTTTTTCTCTACGGATTTTAACCAAACAAAATTAAAACTTTATTAATTTTTTTGAAAGGTAGAAAAATAATAAATAAATAATTAGAACTTGTATGTGCAAACAAATAGTGTAAAGTTTCTTGTCAAATTTTTTTTTTTTTTTTTTTTGGTAAGGTAAAGGTTTCTTGTCTAACAAAACCGAATTGTTGTGAAAAGATAAATTTAATTAAAAAAAAAAACCCTAGTTTCCAACTGCCACAACCCAAACCTTTTGATCATCAGATCAGATGGAGTAAAAATTCGGAGAGGATGGGACCCATAGTATTGATTTCACCAAACATGTAATAAAGATTAACGGTGTGGGTAGAATCATGTAGTTCACAATAATAACCCTGTGATACACAGTAACTTCTCGTTATTCCCGGACTCGATGGCACGTGCTGGCCAGCAATAGTAAAGGTCAAAAAGGCCAAATTCAGATCCAACGGTCAGATGTGTCTGGCAATACCGGGAACTCCGAAAGAACCAATCCAACGGCTACTCTTTCATCTTCGTATCCCACCGTCCGATCTCTATCCAACGGTCCAAATTAAACCCAAGTGGCTCCTCCCCATATCAAGATAAATAAACAAAACCCGGTCCACTTCCTCATCTCTCTCTCTCTCTCTCTCTCCATCTCCGCAAGTCTCTTTTTCTCTCTCTCTCTCTCTCTCTGTTTAGTTTGTTGCTGCTAACCTGCGCAGACGCCACTGCTTATCGTGCGCCGCCTAAGATGACGCCGGCGACAGCCTACATGATAAGAATATCAAGATACAGGAGAGACCACTGAGAAGATCAGACGGTCTCAGGAGTGAGGGATTTGAGGGGGGACCCACTTACAATGGACGGTCAGAAGAGCCAGGCGAAGCTGACGAGGACCCAATCTTCACTTCTCCGGTCGTCTCCGACCTTCCGGTCATCAATCCAAAGCCTCTCTTCCGTGAACGAGATCGCGCCCGAGCAAGAAGACATAGAAGAACAGAAACCCCACAAGCCCGGTTCAGCACCGGTTCGACCCGGTTCGAACCGTTTCGTCCCGGTTCTGGTCGTATCCTCCCTCTCCTTCTACATCCTGTTCGTGTGTTTCAACAGAGAAGACATACCCAGTTCAGAAAATCTCCTATTAGTGCTGATTTTCGTCGCGGTGGTGCTCTTTTTCGCGGGAAGAAACAAGGGTTTCATCTGTCAAAGCTTCACATTTTTCAAACAATTGAGCGACGAGTACACCAAGAGACTTGGGTTGTCAAGAAGTAGCTCGAAACCGGTCCAATGGTTTATTGGTGAATCGACTGTGGACAAGAAAGACCGAAAGGATCGAAAAGAGAAGCGAATTATACGAGAAGGTGTTGAATTTTGCAACGGTGATTTCTATGAAGGAGAGTTTCACAAGGGGAGGTGTAATGGGAGTGGAGTGTATCACTACTTTGTGAATGGGAGGTATGAGGGTGATTGGATTGATGGAAAATATGATGGATTTGGAATAGAAAGTTGGGCCAGAGGTAGCCGATTTCGCGGCCAATACCGGCAAGGTTTGAGGCATGGTTATGGTGTTTATAGGTTCTACACAGGGGATACATATGCAGGGGAGTGGTGTAATGGGCAGAGTCATGGTGTTGGAATGCAGACTTGCTCAGATGGGAGCTGCTATGTTGGCGAATTCAAATGTGGTGTCAAGCATGGCCTTGGATGCTACCATTTTAGGTGAATTCTTGAACTTCAATTGAGTTTCGAATTTTGAAATTTGAATCTTTAATTTCTGGATTGTGGATGCTTAATAGTTAATAGAACAGTGGAAACTTTTGTTACTGTTTTTTTTTTTTTTTTTTTGGGGTGAATTGTTAGTTTATAAGGATCAATCTTTGTTGGTTTATGATTTGGTGCTAATTCTTGAATGTAATAAGTTTTGTATATTTCTGTAATGTTTAGATGAATGGAACTATGTGAACTATGTGTTTTCAAAGTGATTTAGTATTCTTGGTAATGATTAGGATTTTCATGGTTTGACTATTTTCTTGATTGTTTGTTTGTGATGTTTTGGGCCTGAGTATTAAATTCTCATTATATTGTGGTAAATTGAATTGGGTAAGTGAAACTTAATGTTGCTGTGTTTTTAATTGTTGCAGCTGTTATATTTGGGGAATAGTTTCCTTGAATTTGGTCTCTTAGATTTTTTATGCACTTGTGTCATCCGAAATACAGTTGGATTCAGTACTGAACTCATTTGGTCCCTGGATGATGTTACTTTTAAGTCGAAAAAATAATTCAAAAATGAAGAAATTGATTGGTTGGTCAGTTTTTTAATGCTTGCACAAATGTTTTTTTGGTTCTGTTTCTAGATCTAGATGCTTAAATGATTAAATGTGATTGGACTGAATGTAATATGACCTTGATGACTGTTATGTAGAAATGGAGATCGATATGCGGGGGAGTATTTCGGAGACAAAATCCATGGATTTGGTGTTTACCACTTTGCTAATGGCCACTGCTACACGGGGTCGTGGCATGAAGGCCGGAAGCAAGGCTATGGCATGTATACTTTCCGAAACGGAGATACAAGATGTGGTGAATGGGACTGTGGCAATCTCAGCGCAGCCCTACCCCCACTAACCGACGTAGTCCTCCGTGCAGTTCAGGTACATTAATGGCCTTAAAACCTCATTCAATTACCTCACCTTACTTAGTACTGGGCCATGACTTCAGGAATCAGGACCCGAGCAGATTCTCATTTCGCTCTATTCTTTTCTTTTCTTACCTTTTTTTCTCTGTGTCATTTGCAGGCTGCTAGAAAAGCAGCAGAGAATGCAATTCACCTTCGCCGGTTGGATGAACAAGTGAGTAAGGCGGTCGTGGCTGCCAACAGAGCTGCAACTGCTGCTAGAGTTGCTGCTGTCAAAGCAGTTCAAAACAGAATGGATGGCAAATTTTGCGATACTGATGTTTAAGAGACCACCGATTTGTTTGTAAGTGTAAATTTTCTAGTTCATTATGTATTATGAAGATGAATCCACCCTGATAAGCAAAAAGCTCATCGGAGGTTGAGAGAGCTTACGTTCTCGAGGCGTGGTTGGCCTCACTGTAACATGTACATAAATCATGTATATCAATGCAAGATGAATTTTGGGAGTTTTTTTTGGCCTTCTTATCTGTCCTGACCACTTGGAATGGAGTGTGTGTTTTTTTGGTGGGGTTGAACCATGAAGCTACATTATTGTGTTTTGCCCTGCAATAATTTTGGTCACTGGCTTGATCCCAGCTTGTCTCTTGCATCATCATAGTCATCTTCTATAACTAAAGTACCTAGAGCCTTATCCCCAATGTTAGAGCCTTATCTAAAGTGTTTGGCATTGGTTGGTTTCACCTTCAAAAGAAACATAACATTTTGTTCCAAACAAAGAAAAAGAATGTTTAGGACAAAATCTTGCAGAATTTTCACTTGGTGATCCAATGAAACATCAAATGAGTTAGTGGCAAAATCCCATTATGGAATTACTTTCCAAAAGCTGTAGGAATCTTGTTCTTCTCGAAAATTAACCATGAAATCGTTTGAGCATAAAATTTTATGAATTTGGATGTTCTAGTGCAAAGCAAAAGTGTGGAGATCACCCCATAGCGAATGTGGACCCCACAGGCAGAGTGGACAGAGTACCACCCCACGGGCAGAGTGGACCCGACTATGTGAGTGATCTCCAACCCCCCGCGCGACTAGGTGGACCCGACTCCATGGGTACAGTGGACCCGACTCTGTGGGTGATCTCCACCTTCCGGATTCGAAATCGAATTCTCATTCCATACCATAGCATAACGTGATTACACTCACGCACATGGAACTTTTTTACTTTATGGTTTTAGATGCAGATCTTGTTTTTGCTCAACCTTGTCTGTCCAAAGAGCATCCTGAGTGATTTATGCCCATGCCCATGTCACAGACATGTTGACATGAACAAACGTGAAGGATGATTGCACAACTTGCTGATTTCTCTAACACAACCCAACACATAGTCAGCAGAGTGTGTGTGTGTGTGTATACAAACCACATGTAGATCAAAGTAAAACCAAGAACTAATTAGTGTAAGTTTAAACATTGTTGCCAGTATTTGATTAAACTAGTATAAGGAGGACAAAGGAGGCATGTGCTTTTCTGGATCAGGTAAAGATAATGTGGGGTTGTCATTATTCTGATAGTGAAGAACATGGTGTGGTGGTGGTGGTGGGGTTTTGGGTGAAAAAAACTGAATCATTTCATGCATGGTTCTTCCACAATCTCTGTTTCAACTAAATTTTAAAAAGATAAAAATAAGAGCACCTTTTCTCTTTCTCTTTTTGAATATTCAAATCTCTGTAGATTCTTGTTGTTGCTTCCATTTACTCTGTTGCTAGCTAGATTAATTAATACACAATCTCTCTCTCTCTATATATATGTATATATATATGTATATTTAACTTCCAACTACTCCCACATGCATTTAACAAAGGAAGGAAGGATCGTTAACTGAGATTTTTTGGGGTTGTGTGATTTGATGGTTTCTGCAATTAGCAATCCTTTGACTAATCCTGGAAGATGGGTTTGGTTTGAAAAACCAACAGCTAGATTAGAATATACCTAAGCCATGACTGAGCTCTGTTCTCAAACATATAGAGTATGTTTTCAGCAAGATGGGTGTGACTATTTAGAAATGCTATTCTAAATATATTTATTTATTTGCCATTATTATTAGTAATAGTTGAGATGGTATGATGTCCAAAAGAGTAGATTGAGTGTTCAAGTTCCTAAGACAATATTGAGTTGGGTGTGAGATTGCTTGAACATTTGAATATGTGTGTGTGTGTATATATATTACTTGACATTTGAATTTATGTATATATATATATATATATGTATGTGTCAATGTGACTATTAGGACAAGGGTCGCAAGCGAAAAATACTCATATGATATGCATATATAGTGTATAATTCCCTATACATTTTGAAAAAAAATTAACATATAATTTTTGAGCAAACAAAGACCTGAATGCTGAAAAGACTAAAGTGTCTATCTTCTTCTTCTTCTTCTTCTTTGTTTATTTTTTTAGGCATTGTTGAAAGAGAAAAAGGGTATTTTTGAAATTTTATATCTTAAAAATGTCATGTACATTGCAAATGACTAAACTTGTAACCAAACAGTGACTTCAAGCTATTCTTTGATTTTTTTTTCAGACTTAACGCGCTTATATACCAAAAAAAAAAAAAAATACTTTAGGAATGATATTTACTCAAAATTTAAATATTAGAGGTGTTTTTCTCACTTTGTCTTGAGGACAATGGACATAACTAGAGTGTTTAAAAAATCATTAAAATCGATAAATCGATACAAATCAAATCAATCATTGATTTGTTTAAATAAGAAAACGTTAGTTTATAATTCTAATTTCAAATTTTTGTTTTGAATGAAACCAAACGTATGCACCCTAGACAACCTCTTGTAACATTAAAATATTTTTCCCTAAAATTATTGTTGTTTCTTATACAAAATCTTGTAACATGTCCCTACCATTACTATAATTAAATATCCGTTTTAGTTATTATAATTGGCACATTGTGATTAAAATATGCTAGTCTTCTACTTTTAGTTACCTTGGGAAGAGATCAATCTTGGACAACTTTAAAAAGGTACTTGGAATTAATTATTCATAGGGTTTTATTCCATCTCTCTTGATCTCTGATCTGGTCAAATTACTTGTAGGAATCCCCATGTATGTTTGTCCAAGAATTAAGATACAATGTAAATAGAAAAAATTTCAATGGCCAAAAATCACTAAATGGCTTGTACTTCTTAACAAAGTAAAAAACCTTTAAGAACTCTTGTAATTGAAACACATTTTAATTTATGAAAGCCTAATCATTGTGTGTGTTCGTAGAATTCTTTTGCGTATGTTCATTACTAATTTACTTTTTAATTTATAATATAATATGTATAGAGCTCATAGCTAATGGTGAGTGGACACCTCCTACTAAGCGTATGGGAATGCAACTTTTAGAAGTTCATTTACTGCGCTGGATAAATTTTTGAATAAATTACATTGAGTTGGAGAAAAATTTCATTACACCGGTGATACTACATTATGTGTCATTAATCAATAATATCACGTCATATAAGAAAAAGTGTTTTATTTTAGTGGATTTTATTACGACATGACAATGTTTAATAAGTCGGTAATACTATGTCATCACTACAACTGGCTTAAGTTTTTCTCCTCCTATTGATTGTTAAAGTAATAAGGGCATCTCCCCTAATTTTAAAAATATCACTACATCTCTTATTGTTCTGGTGTGAATAACAATGACCTCCTTGTCATAAAATGATGCCACGTTTGAAATTTACTTAAAATTCAATTTTGTCCATATTTTGAAATGGTAAATAATAATAAAACCGATGCGTATAATTGTTATTTGACAACTTTAAGTCAAAGTCAACATTGACAGGGGAGGACAACGTTATTTTTTAAAGCATAAGGGAGGTCCTTGTTATTAAGACATTAAACATGGAAGATCAGTGTAATTTATCCTTAAAAATTTATAATACTGCTTTAAGATAATTAATTTTGTAAAATTATCTACCGTTGAAGAACCTTACACTGGATTGTAAAATTATCTACCGTTGAAGAACCTTACAGTGGACTCACCTCACAAACTCGTAACATCTCTAATTAAGTTTCTATATTTAGAGTTGTTTTTATGTAAAAGAATTTCTTGTTAAGCAAGTAATCCTTACAAATATATACCTAGGTTTTGGGTTGAGACTCATGAGATTGAGAGAGATGTAATCTCATGAGGGAATTGATAGGTGGAGGTAGTATGTGGATTGATTGAAGAGGAAAAACACCGACGACAATGGTAGTAAGAAGATAAGCTTGTGGAGTGATATATGGTAAAAATATATGTACGTGACAGTGGTATTCTGTTATTGTAATATATGTCTGAATCATAGTGAAATTTTTTCTCATCTATAGGCGTAATTCTGAATTTTAATGAACCAGGTATATTTTATCCGTATTGCTTTGTTTGCCTTTCTTTGATTCTCTACATTCGTGCTTTCGCTACCCCCAATAATATCAATTTTTTTATTTGAAGTTTTTAGGGATCTCTGTTTCATTTTTCAAAATTTAAATTTTATAAATTGGTGGGAAGAGACATGTTATTATATATGCTTTCATATGATTCCTTATTTTAAACTGTCCTTATCCATGTCATGAGAATTGTTGTTACTTTTGTTCTTATTATATGAATTTGCATTGGGATGCTAAATCAGCTAATCTTTTGTTTTGAAGGGGTCAATGAATCAAACCATTAGGTCATTTTGAAAATTCTTAGGCAAAAGTAACTTCAATAATGGCAGATAAATAATTGGTGCCTGAATTTACAATGAAGATTGTTTAATGACCATTAAATTGATGCCAAAAACTGTTCCTATATAGATATAAAGCTGATAGCAATTGTTACATAATAAACAAAAATAAAGGCCTAACAGTAGCCTTTACAGCCAAGAAGATCAGGACTTCGTCAATTCATTTGATGCATACATTATTGTTCTTATGTTTAAAAACTTAGCATTCCATAAAGATTATTAGGGGTTGTAAAATTTGACAAGATTCATCAATACAATACGAGTTAAATAGATTTAGATTGACCTAAAATGAGTTCGGATTATAAATGGGTCGACATGATTAACCCGTTTAGTTAATCGTGTCGTATTTGGGTCGAAGGATTCAACCCGTTTAATAAACAGGTCAGGTTAGTATTGAGAGTTCCTGACACGATTATTAAATGGATCGTATTTAGGTTGAACTGTTTAGTATAATTCCCTTAAGTTGACATCACACGATTACGATCCGTGAACATGAATTGTCACCTCGACAAATATCGAATAATGATACTTGTACTAAAGAGTTAGGCAAAATTGTTAGATCTATTAAATTTGATTGATTAATGCATGCCAAATATAAGAAAGTGAGACCCTTCACTTTCTTATCTGATGCATTAATGACCAATCACATATAATAGGCCTAACAATACTGTTAACTCATTGGTGCAAGTATCATTACTTGCACCAATAATCTCTCTTAACTAAAAATTATAGGTTAAAGCGAAAAAATACCCCTTTGAACTATTATATTTTTACAAATAATCTCTCTTAACTAAAAATTATCCGTTTGAACTATTGATTTGTTGCAATTAAAAATAAATTCATTGCAAAAATTTATTTTACACTTTCTTATTAAATTTGTCATTTCTTATTAAATTATTTTTATTATCTTTTCTTTTATCTAAATAATAATTGTATCATTTCTCTTAACTTTATTGTTAGTATCAATTTATCATTAAAAAAGAAAAAAAAAAAATTGTTACTACCACTTTCTAAAATGATTGACTGCTTATTAAAACTTTATTATTTATAATAAAACTTATTATACTCAGTTTAAACTTTTTTTACAATAGACAAATACCTTCTTTTTTATAGATGCAAAATTAATAAATTACTTAAATAAAAAATACCTTATTTTTCATATAATATATTCATGAAAATTTAAGAAATTAATTAAATTGTTTTAAAATTTTCTACTTAAGATTTTTATTTAAACAATTATTTTTAAAATTAAAGGTAAATTTATGCAAATTTAATGGAAAATATGCCATCAAATTAGTATGATTTTTTTTTCATAATTTAATTTAATAAAAAATAGCATTATGATTATTTAATGAAAATGATATATAGTCTAAGTAGGGGTATTTTGCAATAAAATGTGGTAATTGAGGCGGTATTATGCACAAAATATACTTCAAATGGAATTTTTTTTTTTTATTTTTTTTTTTTTTCACTTTATGATTGTATTGTGACTTGTGAAAGGGATGCCTCACTGTTATTGTAAATGCTTTCAAATGGATAATAAAATCTATCTCATTTACCATATATATATATATATATATAAATAAATCAATTTGAGATCACTAAGTTGTATAAGAATGCAATAACTGAAATTAAAGGATGCCATAGCAGTGGAGTTATATTGGTGATTGTGGGCCTTGTGGCGAAGAATGTGTTTACAGTATAAGGATAAAAAAAAGTTATGCTTATACATGTTTGGAAATAGATTTTATTTTTGACATTTAACTAGGTTTCAAATTTGAACAAAAGTTTTAACATTATACCAAATCATAACAGTTAAAGTTTAAGATCAATGGCGGTAGCCTAGTGGAACTTTCTCACCTCAAAATAAAGAGAGTTTTTTCTTTTCGGTGTTTGTTTATTGTTCTCTTCTCTCTTTGCATGAGAATATTGCTCAGCTTACTAATCTTATGAGGTAGCACAAGTGTTATTTTCATTATTTTGAGAGGATTATCTCACCAAAAATTGGGGGGGGGGGGGGGGGGGGGGGGGGGGAAGAAAAGAAAAATAGAAAAAACAATTGTTTTCTCAAATTTAAGGACATTTACTTTGTATAAATAATCAATAATAAATGTTACCATGAATGAAAAAACTCATTATGTATAGATTGATGTCCACCACACGAACAAGCTCAATTTTAATAATAAAGCTATTAAGAGATCCTTCTCATTAGATGAATTATGACCCCTACTTGTTGATTGTTAGATTGAGAGATTAATTTAAAAATAAAAAATCATTTGATTTTTGACAATTTTTTGAAAAAAAAAACGTTTGAACACAAAATGTTCATAATTTTTGACATGAGAAAACCTACTTGATAGTTTCAGTTATTCGAATATTAAATATCTAACCATAGTCATTCATATAGAGTATGAATGAGAGCGAAAATACACGTCGAGCGTAAAACAAAAATATATTTAGAACGTGATAATGATACCTATTGAAAAGAATTACTGTACTAACATTTTTTTATTTGATTTTAAATTTGTCAGTCCAAAGACACCCAAAACTGACTTTTTCAAATGTAACAACTCAAAAAGAAAAGTTGAATCCCTCCCAAGTCCAAGCATAGATGTCACATTAAAGTTTGTGATGCTATGATGTGTTGATTCAATAGCTATCAATCCTTTTTTAATTTAATTATTTTTTTGTTAGTAATTATTATTAAGTAACCTAACCCGGTCATATTTATTGACTTGTATGCAAAGGTCGGTCTAATAAAAAGTAAAGATTGGTTAATGGGGTCACAGATATATATAGCTTTCCTAGCTTTTCCCACCAAAATCATTTAAAGTTACTAGAGAATTTGAGTAATGCATCATCATCATAACTTCCATTGACTTTTAAAAAGAGTTGTACACAATTGGGGGGTCTCTCAACTGACAGTCGTCACCTAGTGTGTGGACTATTGCCTCCCATTTGATTTTATGTGGTATTTAAGAAATTAAAACACTAAAGTCAGTTTGGGTGGTTCATTCCATAAATATTTTTGTTATTTGGGTCAATTAAAGTGTGACATAATAAAACGGTATAATTATTAAACAAGTAAGATAGCACGACACGATTCAATCATTTTTAAGACTTATAAAACACGACATGATTTGATAAGACAAGATTAATTAATATTCATTACTATTTAAATCAAATCTTGTTCGATTATTATATGAGTTCTACTTAATGCTAAATGTAACCGCGCTTCTCAACTTACCGTCTGTCTTCCATTTGATTTTATGTGGTATTTAAGAAATTAAAAAGCTAAAGTCAATTTGAGTGGTTCATTTATTCATGTTTTGTTTATGTTACAAATATTTTGTTATATGAACGGCAGCATAAATTTTTTTTGATGTTCAGTAATCTTGGCACAAAAATGATTCGAATTATTTATTAAATAATTTCAAACTTGACACACACGACCTAACCAGACAAGACACGTTTAGTTAATATAAATTATTATTTGGATTAAATCTAACACAAACACTACATATTTAAATAAACAAATCGTTCTACCACGGACATAGTATGCTTACTCAAATACCGAATCAAAAATTGGATTCCCGATAAAAAGATATGGTCTACCCAATGCTAAATGCATAGACGCATATATTAAAGGATTGCTTTAGTGCATTGTAGATTCTCATCAAAGAGACAAATCCTAAGACAAAGATGATGAGAAACTCAACGCCACTCTTGTAAAATTTATGAAGAATGTCGACTAATCCGTAGGCGGGGACGAATTATAATAATTTGTTGTTTAGTATTTTCATACGTTAAATGGATGTAATCGGATTATAAACATATTGGCATGAAATGCATAACCTAGGGATATAATTGAGTACATGGCTAAAGAGTAATAATCACTTTCACTTGAATAAAATCAAATAAACAAGCTCTTGAAGAATTTAATAATGATCATTATGCTCTAGCCTCTAGATATGTTCAGATTACATGAACACTGACTTGCATGACAAGGATTAATGTCTTTCCGTCTCTTTTGCACCATTCAACCACCAAGTGAGGATCTTGATTTAGATCCATAATTAGCCCAGGGGAAATAAAAAGGAGTGAAGGGAGCTGAACTCAACCTCATGATTATCCAAAAGATGTAATTAAATTTAGTGTATAATAATACTAAACTATATATAAAAATTATAAAACAAACAAACAACTTTTCAGAGTACAATAATAAACAATATATAAAACAAACAAACAACTTTCAAGTTTTCTAGTGGAAGAAACATAATGAGTATACATACAATGTGCAGGTTTAGTGACAGAAATCACCTCTCTCTCTCTCTCTCTCTCTCTCTCTCACACACACACACACACACACATCTGCTCAGGCTCTATGCAACTTAAATGTATTTCTGCTCCATTTTGTTCACATAAAGTCACTTTAGGACCACAAATGAGCCTGAGTCATCAATCATGGACAACTTGTGCTTGACTCATTAGAAGGCTCATTCGTGTGCCGAGTTAAACAAACTGAACTCGAACAATTACAGGCTCAAATCAAGCTGACGCGTTACAACATAGCCTAATGGGTATTTCTGTAATTTAAAAAGTTTCATACCCATGTCAGAGGGTTCTATTATCTGATCATCATGAACATCTGCTTGGATTTGTCCTTCGTACTGGCATGGAAGCCTTCCGTATACACTGTGTTGAACAATGTCTGCAACAAAGAGATCTACTCATTGCTGAAAGTATTAAGAAATCATTTAAATTAATCAGCTGAGAGAAGATTGAAAATGAAAATGAAGCCGTTAATCAAAATGCAATATATTGAATCACTAACCTGTCTAGCATAACAATCATAAGGTAAATGCTTTGATTAAATGGAGGACAGTGAAATTTGAAATGGTGAATCAACACAGAACAATCACATCTATCAGGTTATATTGAAGTGAAAATGTACACCAGAGCGGACCCTAACTTGGGCAACATGATCATTGTCCTTTTATTCTGATAAGCCACATGACAAAGGTATATATCTAATACGCAATAAGACATTTTTGTAACAGTTGCACCCACTTGATGGGCTATTTTTGGCAGCAGAGGTATTATGCTTCGGAAGTTTCAATAATTTGGCTGGATTGGCGGCAACAAACACCATAAAAAGATAATGGAGATTAATAGTTACCAGTTGATAATTTGATGTCTAGGAATACTTTCAAACCAAAAAAGGGAATGGACAACTCATGGATATTCTTCACAAGTAAACGGGGATTGGGTATCCAAGGGTTACAACTATGTAGTATCCCCGGTCAATCAACATCTCATTGGAGCGTTTGGCGTCAGTCTTGCAACAGAAAACTGATCAGGATAGCAATGCAATAAGACACTTTGGTGAAATGATAGAAAACGATAAAAGTCTATGTCACTGGACAGAAACAGGGCCAGTACACGTCCTGCTGCTCCTGCATCCAACTCCTAAAATTAGAGACGGCTTTTAACATATGAGAATGGTCATAGAACATAGCAGCAGTCTCACTTTTCCTGTGATACCAAATGGTACCAAAGTAGCTGTTCATGCTAGTGTCCTATCCCCCCACCAAAAAGATTAAATCAAGGTTTGGAGGCTTCAAGCTTTTCCTTCCCTCTTTATCTCCCATCCAAAGGCACTTTCCACTTCCATTAAAGAAGCATGTACTTGGGTCACAGAAGTTTCAATAATTTGGCTGGATTGGTGGCAACAAACACCATAAAAAGAGAATGGTGATTAATAGTTGCCAGTCAATATTTTGATGTCTAGGAATACTTTCAAACCAAAAAAGGGAATGGACAACTCATGGATATTCTTCGAAAGTAAACCAGGATTGGTATCTGAGGGTTACAACTATGTAGTATCCCCGGTCAATCAACATCTCATTGGAGCGTTTGGCGTCTATCTAATTCGCAATAAGACATTTATGTAGTAACAGTTGTACCTACTTGATGGGCTATTTTTGGCAGCAGAGGTATTATGCTTCGGTAGACTTGTGTCACAGAAGTTTCAATAATTTGGCTGGATTGGTGGCAACAAATACCATAAAATGATAATGGTGATTAATAGTTGCCAGTCAATAATTTGATGTCTAGGAATACTTTCAAACCAAAAAAGGGAATGGACAACTCATGGATATTCTTCGAAAGTAAACCAGGATTGGGTATCCGAGGGTTACAACTATGTAGTATCCCCGGTCAATCAACATCTCACTGGAGCGTTTGGTGTCAGTCTTGCAACAAAAAACTGATCAGGATAGCAATGCAGCAGGGCATTTAGGTGAACTGATAGAACACGACAAGTCATGTCACTGGACAGAAACAGGCCCAGTACACGTTCTGCATCTAACTCCCAAAATTAGAGACAACTTTTAACTATATGAGAATGGGTTATAGAACATAGCAGCAGCCTCAGTTTTACTGTGATACCAAATGGTACCAAAGTAGCTGTTCATGCTAGTGTCCTATCCCCCCACCAAAAAGATTAAATTAAGGTTTGGAGGCTTCAAGCTTTTCCTTCCCTCTTTATCTCCAATCCAAAGGCACTTCCCACTTCCATTAAAGAAGCATGTACTTGCTTCATTTCTAGTGACAAAAAACTATAACTATAGATTCTAGTGAAGGATGAGCAGAAATCCTCCATTCCATTACAGAATTAAGCTTGCAGAGATAGTTGATTGTAATGACCAAGGTGATGGTCCTCATAGAAATTGGATTGCAAAAACAGGATATTTCTTTGAGATAGAACTGGAAATTAATAAAGACTACGATTTCACCTTCACTGTCAAAGTCTGAATCAACAATATCAGTTGACACAGAACTGTAAGGATGAAGGTGAGAACCTTCAAAATGGCTAAAGATTTTGATTACAATCCCTTCAAACTTGAAGTAGAAGATCAAAATCAGCCCCGTATATTCTGTTCTAAGAACCTAGATCTGCTATACTAGTCATTGTCAATGGTAATTAATCCTTAAGGATCAACACATTTCCCTCAAGGTCAACAATATTACCACTATTTAGAGCTCAAAAAATCTCCAATCACGTGAGCCATGACCATCTTATCGTCCACAACAATTTGAATTAACCACTCAAATCAAACCCCAGGACAAACCAAAACATGAAAATGTGGTTGTCATTTGATCAAAAGCCCCACCAGATCCACACAGAATTTAAAGGTTTTGGGCTCACAGCCTCACACCCTCATTTCATCGTGTAACTGGGACTGCAAAGGAGCCACTTGCTAGCACCTTGAACTTGTTGTTTTAGCACCTCATTTCAGCCCCTTTACTGGAGATATGAGCCTAGCTCGACAAAGCTCCTTGTTTAAACAAGCCGAGCTTGAACTTTCGATGGCTCAGCTAGTGAGTCTTGTGACATGCTGTCCCTACAGTATGAGTTATGTTTAACATGTGATGAAAGTATATTGAGTTTACACAAGTCGAAATCTAAGTGATTTGAGCTAAAGTACGTGGGGAAGTGGGCTAAAATTTTAATTAATCAAAAGTGGCCTTTTCAACCTCAAACTACATAATATCACATCAAAAATTGTTTTCAAACCCATTACATACTAATCATTCTCTTCCTTTTCTTGTGAACCTATCGCAGTAATTGTTTTTCCACATGTTAATGTCCTTCACTTTCATTCTTCACCAATGCATCTAAGTGAAAGATTGTTATTATCACCTTTCTTTTTCTTCCTTGGTTCTTGTTCTCGTGATTTGAACCAAAACTATAATGGTTTTATTTTGTTCCCTTTTTGGATCTGGTTTACCACAAATTAATTCCTCTATTGTTTTCCACAAATTGATGGTTCACTCGCGTCACTGATGGCAATGCTGTTTAGTGTTATGCATCTCTGAGTTACTCCACGGATAAAATTGATTGCCATTACTTGGAAGCCTGTGTTATCTAAAGCAGTAAGGTTCAAGAGCCATAGCTTCAATGTACCAGGAAACTGTGTCATGATTTCACTCATATCCATGTAAAAGGATTACATGAAGGCTGTTACCATTATCTTTAGTGCTAAATCTGACAGGTGAAAAGGGTAAGTTAACAAACTGTGAAGTGAATTTTTAAAAATGGAGAAACCTAAATTTCCTGAGATAATTTTATCAGCATGTATATGTGAAGAGTTGTATCATCTTTTCAAAAAGGAAATAGAAAAAAAAAAAAAAAAAATGATGTATTTGTGGTATGTTGATGCAGGAGAGCAATGCTTAAAAGTGATTTAAGTCCCTAACCACCTCACCTGCATCTTCTTCTATTTCCTGATGACTACTTTATCTCAAAGAACTTTCAAATAGCTTAAGCTAAAATGTTGGAATTGGGCTGTCAAATGATTCTCAAAAGCCAAAAAATTTGTACTTGGAAGATTGAGGTAGGAATAAAAAATCAGAATCCATCAATTTGAGAGTCCAGTATACAGATTCCGTGAATAGGGCTTCAATCAACTGCTACTTGGAACATACATGGTCTAGTAAACAATAAATATGTGTTAGGTATATTTTATTTAATCCCATCTACTACAAATTTAATAAACGAATCTTAACATGGGTCGCGAACGACAAACACCCCTATGGTATGCAAATAGGGTATATAAACCCTATAGGTTCTTTTTTTTTTGATAAGTAGTCTATTAGGTAACAAATGGGAAAGAAATCACCTTCACCATTTTTGATAATTCGAGAAGAGCATCCCTATAGGTTCTTAAAAGTCCCTAATCTTTATTTTTGGTGCGAATAAGGTCTTGTTGTCAGTGGAGCAATTAAAAGAATAAAGTGCCCTTATGTATTTGAAAAAAAAAAAAAAAAGGTGACAGACAAAATACATGTAAAATGACCAAAGCACCCTAACCAAAAACGAAATGGTGTGTTTAAATGTAAAATGGTATAAGGGCATTTTGGGGAGACCAAAAGGGTAGTTTAGGGAATTTGTTACTTAATATAGGCAAGTGCAACGCACATGACTACTTAAATGTGGTTTTTCTGACATTTTATACGAATTAAGCCCTTATTTGCCAATTTTTTTAAAACTTAACGGACTTGTATACCCAAAATAAAGCTTAGGGGTGTTATTTGCCCAAATTTTAAACATTAGGGGTGTTTTTGTCACTTTACCCGTGGAAAAATTATACAATTGATCAACTGATCAAAACCCTATAAATATTAAGGGAGATTGATAAATATAAAATTAACAGAACTTAAAGTCAAGGAAAGAACTCACGACAAAAGACAAGGCATGCAGATTGCATTGTCCTAAAGGAAGAGTGTCCTCCCTATCATGCAGCTACAACCGCATTAGTAGTCCAACAAGATACAACACTCAAAACTCGCACCAACTCACCTCTAGGGGCACGTCCGCCGGGAGAAAATAAACAAAGTCTAAGATGCCCACGAAAAATATATAAAATATGATGTCAAAGTATATGTTGAGAGTAACACAGAGAAGTATGGAGAAAAGAGAAGACTTTGCAAAGAAAGAGAGGTTGATCGTGAAATAGAGAGAGAGAGAGAGAGAGAGACTTTGAATAAATGTAAGTTAAATGCCCAATATTGCTCTGCCTTTTATAAAGTATGGTCTCTCAATGATTAAAACACAATAAACATGTGGGCTAAATTTATGGCAATAAAATGGTCATCAAATTTATAAGGAAATCTTTCCAATTACAAAATTTGAATGAAAAATAAAATTGGACCAAAGAGTAAAGAATAAATATGGACCAAAGAAGAAAATAATCAAATTGGGCCAAAGTGGGTTGGACCAAAGGTTTTGAAACCTTTTACTCAACAATATGTGTGACTACCCAATCAACTTCAGATATGTTGAAAGAAACCAGACTAAATTTCCTCCACAAGACATACAATCATTAATCTAAATTACTATTGTTGAGTAAAATATTTCAAAATCATTACCCCCACCCACTTTGACCCAATTTGACTTCTGGTCACTTTCGTTTTCATTATTTTGTAATCCCCAAGGTAAGATACCTTATAACTTCACAGCTACAAGTCATTTCTGTGCAAAGTAACGAATCTCGGCGTGAACCGCGCCAAGGAACAGGAACGGAAGAGCAAGCCCCAATCACGGATGCAATCACATGATGGGATGGACCAAAGGTTTTTGAAACCTTTTACTTTTTGAGACAGCCATTAAATGGTTTCAAAACATTTAGCCCAACCCGCTATGGCCAAATTTGATTCTTATATTCTTTATCCCACATTTATTCTTTGCTCTTTGGTCCAATTTACTCATTTTTTGTTCCTATGGAAACTTGAACTCTCAACCTTCTACTTTGGAAGGTGAGGAAGTACCAACATGCTACAGCCCCTGATTCTTTTGTTATAAATTTAATGGCCCTTTTATTTTCAGAAATTTAGCCCACATGTTTATTGTGTTTTTTGAACTATAAGAGACCTTACAACTCTATAATAAGGTAGAGAAAAATTAGAGATTTTATTTACACATATTCAGATGCCTCTCTCTGTCTTCTATGATCGATTTCTCTCTCCAATCTTTTGCACGCTCTACCCTTTAATATACTTTTCACTCTTATTATTCCCAACCAATATTTCATACCATAATTTTATATATATAATTTTTTGGGGGATCTTTCAGTACCTTCAGACTTGGTTTATTTTCTCTATACAAAAGTGCTCCTTGAGGGGGGTTGTTGTGAGGTTGGGTGTTGTATATTGGAGGACTAGTGATCCAGTTGTACTTGCATTATGCTAGGACACTCTTTTGCCAGGACAACGCAATATGCATGACTCACCTTTTGTCAGGCCAGTTCTTTCCTTGACTTTAAGTTTTTGTTAATTTTATGCTCATCTCTCTTTATTGAACATTTTAGGGTTAGTAGTTCTATCGCATAATTTTTCTACTCAATTCTTGTAGAATTATATGATTTATTATAATTTAATTTGTCGTAGAAGAGATTAAAATACACCCAGCACTTATTTCACCTACAGCTCTGTAGGTGGCATTGTCTTCCTTGCACATAATTGGATGACACACTTAAAGGTTAACTTCAAAGTTGTCCTCTCTCAGCCGAAACATTACCGATGAAATTACGTGGGTCCTTTCAGCTATTTACAGCAACAACAACACTCAAGGTAGGAAGACTTGGTCCACATCCAAACTTCAAGGTGAGCCCTTCAATTTTTCCAGGAGTATGGAAAAATATTTTAATTTACCAAATCCTCCAAGGAATTAACGGTAGATATAACTCAAAACATGAGATGTTTTAAGGAAAACCAGTCCATTAAAATTCCTTGTTGACATCGTCATTTTGTGTATGGCATAGACTCATTGTGAAGCTCCTGAAGTTCTACAACTTTTTCTTTTTGATAACAGAGGGTGTCCCCACCCCTTTAAGAGCAAGACTAATCCCCTCAGATATCCACAATCCCTCCAAATCACAGGTATCACTATCAGGTAAGTCCAATGTAGTTGAACATAAGACACCCCTGAACCAAAGGCTCATGCTAACTCAGCTAGTCGGCTACCCCATGGAGCTTAATAAAGCTTTATTACTTACAACTCATTGTGCCCAAACTTGGTAGTACATGAGTTGCAGACAGCTTACCTCTGGCTCATATGCATTCGGAAAAGAAAAAAAAAAAAAAAAATACAAAATTTCAGCATTATTACAAACAAAGGTTTTCCTCTTGATAGCTTGAAAAACCAGGTAATCTTATATTCCAGCTATCTAATTACACCTCCAGAATCTTGTAAACTGCTTAGCTGTATCAGAAGCCAAATATTAAATTAAAAAATAGTCATGTCTCTTATTGCTGCCTCGGCTTATATACTTGCAGTGCTCTTGTGCTTGTGACACTAAACTTAAATAACTCTTCTTTACCGGAGTACTCATCATCTTAATTGCACATGACTAAACCATTTTAGATGACTTCTCCATATTTTAATCACAACTAATAATTAGTAATAGATTCTCATTCATCCGTCTTTCTATTTATTCCTAAATCCAACAATATGACAAACTTCGAAATAAATCTCAATTTTAGCTTCAGGTGCATATACCATATACTTCATAATTAAATGAAAATTAGAAATAATACAAGAAAGCAGAAATATTTTGCCCTTTTTTTTTTTTTTTTTTTTATTCTTCTTTTCCTTTAACCCCTTTGGGCAGTTGCAAAGGAAGCAAAGATAGCAGTTTTAATTGTTCAATTAGGATAGACTGACTATACCTAGGAAAACAGAAGGGCAGAGAGAAACTAAGTGTAATGGATACCTGAAGTATTTCTGCCAAAGCTTCCTGGGTAGCCATTCTCAAAGCTACTCTACCCAAGCCAAGCCTCCAAGAACAGCTGCTCAGCTTCAAGGCCCACAGATATCACCCAATAGAATGAAGGAAACTAGAAACAATGCATAAACTAAAAACCAATAATATGACCATATATAAATGAGTCCAGCGGCATCTGTAAATTCAAAGTTGAGCTTTGAACCAATGAAGTGATAAGAATTAGGAAAACATATAGACCTTTAAGATCTACCTTTGTATTCACCAGAGCAGAAACAATATAAAACCTATGTTATTTATCTGCACAAAAAAGCAAGTGCAAGTACTATCACAGATATAGGGGAATTAAAAGGACATTTAAATTTATTGCAAGGGTAAAGCTAGAAGATTTCTTTCCTAGTCTTGCAAAATCATAGCTTCAAGAATGAAGCTTTAATCAATGCACCTTTCATCTGTCCACAGATTCTGCTTGATTGAAAAGAGACAGAGTTGTGTCAAAAAATAAATTGATTCCAACAGAATAAAATATATGCAGAACAATTTGTATTCAACAAGATGCGGTGCTATTCCAACAAAAGCAAGTGGTTTCTACTTACAAGTATTAGAAATTTCAACAATTTATAAAACTACACACAATATTACTTTTCAAGGTAATGACAGAATTGCACATAACTTGATCTGATTTCAAGGCAGATCCAACTTATGGCCTTGCATAATTAAGTTAAGTTTTATGTATGTGCTGTTGCAGAGACACGAAAGATTTTGTGATGATGCATACCCAAATTCTTTTGCAACTTTAAATGATTTTGGTGGGAGAAGCTCAGGAAAGCTATATATCTGTAATTTATTTATAACTTACAAGATGTAGTATAAATGCAGATAAGCACTATGCCAATATAAGTCTATTGACCTAAAATACCAAAATAAAAAACAAAGTTGACCAGTATAACTAAGTTGACACTTAACTTACTTTTAGAAAGTAACTAAACCAAAAACAAAAACAAAAAATTACGGACTCTAATTTTGATTCATGAATATGCCATTTTAACATCCATTGACTTTAAAAAAAGTTGCCACGATGAGATCTCTCAGCTGACAGTCACCACCTAGTGTGTGGACTATTATTTTAAGAGACCAATCTCGTCATTTGATTTATGTAGTATTTAAGAAGCATTTTCAGGATTGGGAGATTGAGGAAGCCTGGGGTTTTTTGGAGTTGCTGTACCACAGGGAGATTGTGGGTGGTCTCTCTGATTCATGGGTGTGGGTTCCTTCTTACCAGGGCCGCTTTAATGTTTGATCTCGTTACAGGTGTCTTACAGATACCCCCAGGGGATCCCTTCCCATGGAAGGTCATTTGGCGCTCTAAAGCCCCTCTCAAAGTGGCTTTCTTTGCGTGGACATCTGTGTTGAGAAAGATCTTGACTAAGGATAACTCAAGCAGAAGGAGAGAAGTTGTGGTCTGTATATGTAAGAGATGAAGAAACGGTTGTCCACCTTCTTTTGCATTGCCAATGGCTCGGGGCTGTTGGGTTTTGTTGTTGAGTTTGTTTGGGGTTCAGTGGGTTATGCCCAGGTCCTCCATAAATTTAGTTGAGGCTTGGAGAGGTTGTATAGTGGGGGCCCAAGCTCGTGATTTCTGGCAGGTTGAGCCTTTATGCTCCTGGTGGTGTTTATGGCTTGATAGAAATAGGAGATCCTTCGAAGGAAAGGAGACTCCTATCAGGGCATTGAAGTTCTCTATTATTAGCACTCTTTTTTGTTGGGTTCTAGAGAGAAATTGTAAAACCATGGAGGAGATAGTTGATTATTATTATTATTATTATTATTATTTCAGAGTTTAGAGGCCTATTAGGCCTTGTGTATCTTCTGAGTGATGTGTTCTCCATTTGAACACTTCGTTTATGCAATCTTTACTTATAGAAAACTTAGTATTTAAGAAATTAAGAGACTACTCTCATTATTTTGGGCGGCAGTTCATTTTGTTGCATTATACTATGACATGAATAACTGGTTATATGGATAAATACAAACACGACACAATTATTATTCATGTCACTACATGATTATTAAACATATAACATAATATAACTCACACAACGTGTTTAATAAACAATTCAAGACCTGACAAGGCAAGACACGTTTAATTAAAATTCATTGCTATTAGAATCAAATCTAACATGAACACGATACATTTAGTTAACCAGGTCATTCTAACCCAAACATGATATTTTTACTCTGACATGTCTAGCTAAACGAGTCTATTCAGATTATAAACGGATTGGTGGATCAAACACAAACATGACAAGTTTAATTAGCATGTTAATTCGTGTCATCATAATTACAACTCAAACACGAATAAGCTACAGTCGTAGGAAGCACGGATGCGGATACAGGATACGAGTATAGGCAATAAAAATAAATAAATTACTCCCTCCGTCCCATATTAGATGTCATCTTTGGTATTATAAGTTTTTAAGGGGACATGCAATTAATGCATTGTCCCCCTTTAAAATTACTAAGTTATCATTTTTATGTTTAATTATGCATATTACCAAGTGAGATTTTTGAAAATTTAAAGGGTAATTATGGAAAGATAAATATATTTTGCTTTGACTTTTCAAATTGGACAACAAATTTGAGACATCCATAGAAGGGAAAATGGACTACTAATATGGGACAAAGGGAGTATATTTTTATATATACAAAAAAAAATTAATTTTGGCCATTTTTTTATAAATTACAAATCTAAATGCAATCGTTACTATGTTATAAACTTTTTACTAAATTGTGATATATATATATATATCAAAACTTATTTTTAAAAAATCAAAATTTTTATTAACAATTATATTATGATATTATTGTAGGAAAAGTTACATTTTAATGTTCAAAACTTGTTAGAAATGTACTCTGAATTATCTGAGAAGGATCGGATATGTGGTCGAAGTGTCTGAGAAGTATCGGATAAGTGGTGAAAGTATCTGAGAAGTATCAGATACATGTTAAAAATAAATAAATAAATTGAGAAGTAATAATTGATTAGAAAAGCATTCAAAAGGGGAACGCATCCCTAATACAAAAAACGAAAGTTGAACCTAAGGACCTATAGAGTCCAAAAGATTAACTAAGTCGTCAGTAGAGGAGCAAGTGCTTCCTTTCACATAACAAAAAATAGAGAGAAGAATATGGAGTTTCAAGGTCGCCAAAGGCAATTCCTTTCCTTCGAAAATTCTGTTAATCCTCTCTTTCCATATGCACCACCAAACACAGTGTGGAACTATCCTCTAATAATCGCAAGCTTGGCTTCTCACTTGGCATCCTCTCTACGCGTTAATCAGTCCTTTGGAAGACTGAATCATTACCCAATGCAAATATGCCGAAGATGAGGTTCCAACAATCGTGCACTACAGGACAGTGCATAAGAATGTGATCCACAGACTCACTATCTTGTTTGCATAAATAACAACAATTAACGATAGTGTTACCTCTCTTCCTCAAGTTGTCCAACGTCAAGATCTTACCCCAGACGGCAGTCCAAATAAAGAATGATACTTTAAGTGGAGCCTTGGAGCGCCATATAGTTTTCCGTGGGAAAACAGGACCAACGAAGTTGGAAAGGCATAGGAACATAGACCGAACACCAAATCTTCCATGGAAGGAAGGAACCCACAAAATGTCATCAATACCTCTGCCAACATTCCACGTAATCCCACTGCTATCAAGCCGATAACAGTCAGCTACGCATCGTCGGCTATGTAACAACCCGAACCTATAGATCTGAATCGCTAACCGAGTCCTTACCCGAACCCAAGGTCATCTAAGGGTACCCTTGCCATTTCGAGTTACAAGACACCTTCAACACATCACAACAACCCATAACATACATTATAGCACCTTAACATAGCTAGGAGTGGCCTTGGAAGTGGCACAACAACGGTAAGAAAGGCTCATCATTTCGGTTGTCCAAAGTGATACTTCGGTCGTCCGAAATGCACATTTCGGCCGACCAAAGTAGACCCACTGGTCGACCGGTTGTGGCCCTGAAATTTACTTGGCTACTGGATTTGATCCGAAAAGCAACCAGTCGACCGAAATGCCCATTTCGGTCGGCCGGAATGACCCTGTGAGGTGGGAAATGCTGTAACTGAGCTGTTATGAACTTAAATGAAAAATGGTCTCAATAGAGACCTTGAAACTGGTCCAAAAACCTATCTCAACCCACTGCAAAATGGTGTACTGCATCCCATTCATTCAAAATACGAAGATTACATAACTTTTACATAGTTCCAAAGTCATTTACATGAAAATAAACATTTATACATCAAGTGGTTCAGATTTTTCATATTACAAAACCACAAACTGAAAGGTATACAAAATGATTACAGAGTTCTACAAAAAATACATGGCATATGCTTCCATACAAAAGATAACTAGTTACGATTTCCAATCCAATCTAAGCTTGAGGTGGATTATCATTCGCCACCTCCTTCTCGTATCCTGAAATTGTTGAAAATAAGGGGTGAGCGTAAAGCTCAGTAGAAGCCACCTAAGGCATTAGTTTTGAACTTCCTTAAGCCAAATAACATATAATGGGATTGAAAAGATGTCGGGATCATACAATGGGAATTCATACACCATAAACAACTTAGCAAGAAACAATCTTAACACTTGACACAATCCCACCAAATGATATACTTGAAATGAAATATGGTGCATCCGTCCCAAATCTGGTCTATACCGACCCAGCCCACACTTTTAGAAATCCGTTAACTGACTTTATCGAGGCGAGATTGATAACTATCCCCGGTTCTGATTTTGCCAAAGCCTGGCAACCGTTAAAGGGCCTAGTATCAACTTTTTCACGCCCTACACTGGGCACACTCCCTCTAGGTCAAGTTAGCCCCGTACTCGCGAAATCCGGTTCGTTTTTTATTCCTTTCAAAATCTCCCCCCCCCCCCCCCCCCCCCCCCGCGCGCAGGCGCCGGGCGGGCCATGATATGCAATGCACAAAAAATACAACCACTAATTTTCAACATGGTAATTTCCATACAACAAACATGGCAAGGCATTGCATGATGACATTTAATGACAATCTGGACATTCCACAACATTTATTACACCATTTACACATACAAGATAATCAAGATAACAAATCTCAAGTTATAAACCACAACTTTAAATGTAAAAGAAAAGAAGCTGAAATTTGCTCAAATAAAATTCAAAACTTGGGCATTAGGAAAACCCCTACCTTATTGAAGAGCAAATACACACAAAGCTTCAAAACAGCCCCAAGAACCCCAACTTCGAAAATGTCAAAGTGCTTCAATTTGAAATCAACCTTGATCAAGATGTAGTCCTCAACAAGCTTATCAACTTTGCCTTCAATGGCAAAGTTGAAATCTCAATGTAAAATGATGAATTTTAAGCTTAAAGTGTGTTATAGTGAGAGAAAGTGAAGTTTCCAGAAAGAGAGAGAGAGAGCTACGATTTCTGTGAAATGAAAAATGGGCCAAGACAATGTATGTGATCATATAATAAAGTTAGTGTTTTGTGGGGTCCATGCAAATAACAAATATCTTTCCTTTTTAATAATAACACATACATACACATTAACCAAATAACAATCATAAAATAAACATGTCATCATGTAAAATACATTAATTTAATAATGAATGAGATGCAATGGACCCAAAATAAAATTCCCGTACTCAACAATTCCGGTAATGGGTCCCATGTGGGACCTTCCAGCCCGAAGAACGGAAAAATGCCGAAATGGCAACCAGTGCATTTCCAAGAGTCCTAAACTCAAGGAAATGTCCCACCCAACTCTCAGACATACCTGGCACACCTCCACGGTGTCCGGTACGCAAAACGAGAAAAGACGAAAATGCCCTCGCAAAAAAATCAGAAATTCTGGAAAAATGAAAAATGGTTGAAAACAAGAACATTACAGGCTATACTATAAAGTCTAGGAAAAGAGTAAGACGACAATTGATCTCCACATCATAAATCCTCCCAAAAGCAGACTCGCCTACCATCGCGAACCTTGAATCTAATATGGGAAAAGAAGATATCCCAACCCTTCCGAATGAATTTCCACACGCCAACGCCCCCTCGCACCGCAATAGAGACTGGACGGGAGGACCAACCACCGCTCTCCTCCCCAAAATGACACGAAACAATCCTTCTCCACTGGCGATGTCGTTCCTTACCGACTCTTCACAACCACTTTCCTAAAAGAGCTCTGTTAAATGGAACCAGCTTTCAGATACCTAGGCCGCCTAGCTTCAAGGGCTTGCAAACTTGCTCCCATTTAACGAGATGACACTTGAACTCCTCTCCCCTTCCACCCCAGAGAAAGTCACATGTTAAAAATAAAAATAAAAATAAAGCATTTTAAGATTATGGAAACATTTAGGAAGTATGAGACACATATCCGTAAGTATCAGAGGAGTATTGGTATACGATACGGACATGATACGGGTACGTCACCCTTGTAGAAGTATCTGGGCTTCTTAGAGCTAAACCCAAACATGTCGTGTCTAAGTATTGACGCCTCAACTTGCCATGCATCTGTGATCCTAATTTTTAAATTTAAATAAAAGATTGATTTAAGCAATAAAAAAATATACAAAAAATTTATTAAATTGGTTAAAAGTTTTTAATCATCGAATTTTTATATTCTTTTTCCAAATCCTTAAGTTCATCTCTACAAATCTTTTTCCAACTCAATTCAACTCATCTAATAAATATCATATATGAAGATAATGTTACAAGGTTCGTAGGTGGTGTATTAGTGGGTTAACAGGTGGTCGCTTCTTGATTGCCGTTGCCGCCCAATCAACAGATCCCCCCTTTCTGGAGCATGAAGATATTTGCTTTGTACAAATAATGTCAAAAAGTTTAAGTACATACTAGAGTAACAAAAATCAACACTGTCTTTAGAAGCAAATGAAACGACATATATCATTTTACTTCTACGTAAACACATAATTTAGGAGTCATAGACTCATCAATAAATATTCGGACTGACAAGTGTGGATATACAAGCTCAAATTGCAAAGTAACCACTTTGTTACTAGCATAGGAAATACAAACACTAGGTGATGACCGGAGGACATAATTGAGTACATGCTAATGCGTAATCACTGGAAGAATTTTTATCACTTTCACTTAATAAAATGATTAAAATCATATAAGCTAGCTCTTGAAGGAATTATTAATTATCATTATACTCTAGAGATATAGCATATCATTTTGAATAGGGGTTCAGATTACATGAGCACTGACTTGAATGACAATGATAAATGTCTATTTGTCTCTTTAGCACCATTCAACCATCAAGTGAGGATCTTAATTTAGATCCATAATTACCACAGGGGAAAGAAAAGCAGTGAAGAAGCCGAACCCTCATGATTATTCAAAGGATCAAAGATGTAATTAAATTTAGAGTATAATATTAAACAATATATATAAAACAAACAAACAACTTTTCAGTTTTCTGGCGTAATTAATTGTTTGATTGCTCCTTCTATATTTCTCTATCATTCACTCTCTCTCCCTTTACATATATATCTAGTTATATACACACACCAAGGTCTCTCAAATATGGAACTTCAATTTGTAGGTGACAATTGTGTAGCGTCATTCTTCTAGTCCACAAAATATAATAGTTCTTTCTTACCTTTAAAGTAAAGGGAAAGAATGGTTCAGATTTTTTTTTTTTTTTTTTGATAAATAAAAATTCTTGGTTGGTACTCACACACACATGCCTCCACCGAGGCTCGAGCCCCTGACCTTTCTTTGGGAAGTAGGGGCCTGGTACTGCTTGGCCACTGGCCGTTGGTAATGGTTCGGATTTTTATTATAATAGGCATCTCATCATAAAGAGAATTTATCTTTATAGCATAATCATGTAAAATCTCTCTACAACAAGATATATCAATCCTCATCTGTCAATAAAAGACTTCAAAATGTACAACACAGATGGCACATATGCAATTGGAGGAATAATTGACTCGGAGAATGGTTCTGGTATTATTAAAAATGAGAGTTTTGAGTTAAAATTGACCTTGTTTAAGGTACCTACCGTACCTTGGAAGTCAAGAGAATGTTTTGATATATAAAGTTAGAAACTTTGAAAGAAAAAGAGAGTTTTCAATTAAAAATGACTTATTCAAGGAACCTTTAAAGTCAAGGCAGTGTTTTAATGTATAAAGTTAGAATTGGAACGATACAGAGAAAATTAGCATGGCCTGCGCATGGATGACACGCACAAATCGAGAAATGGTCCAAATTTTTACTAATCAAAAAAAAAATTCAAAACCATTCTTTCCCTCTACTTTAAAGGCAAGAAAGAACTATGAGTGAATAATAGAGAAATACTAAAGAATTTGTCCTCCCTTTTTTACCTTGTTTTATTTATAACAAAAATTTTTAAGTATTTGTTTTTTTAATATGGGAAACATATCTTTTTACCATCTAGAGATTTTAGCATTTCATTTATGCTCGGATTTTTTTGTTCATTGTCTAATTCATGCAACCATCCAATACTATTATGGAGCTCTTTCAATATAGCAAAGAGAAAACAACTTTAATTTTGGGTGTTGATTATCAATCCATGTATGAACTTAAAATTTTCTTGAGGGTTCTGTGGATATAGTTTAACGAATATGGTATTATCCATTCTTGTGAGAAATAATGACGGTATACAGTGTATCCATCTGATTTATTTATGATGCTAGGGTTTGGAAACTTATCAGGAAAATTTTTGTAAATTTTGGGAAGCCATAGAGAAGCAACACACTAAATTCATATATGCTAGAGAAGAAAACAGACGGCAAACTAATTATTAAAAGAGAAGTAATAGATTATTATAATTACAATGAAGAAGAAAAAAAATTCAATATTGAAATTGGGGTGGAAAACTATTTCATGTTAACTTAGAGGAGGCATACATCGTCACTTAATAATTATTTGGAGTTTCTAATGAACAAAGACTAAGCACTAAGAGGAGTTTCAATCAAACAAAGAAAACCAGATCAAATTCAACTGTAACATGTTGTGACATAGAAAAGTTCATGAATTATCATATTAAGAACGAAAGAGGTATAAGAACCTATCCAGAAAATCTACATACATAATAAGAAAGAAAAACAAAAAGAAAAAAATGAGAGAGAAAAACCTGCAGATTGCAAGCAACTGATCCTTGGAATAACCCAATTTCTCTCTCTCTCTCTCTAAGAATTGAAGAGTGAGGAAGGCAAAATCGAAATGCGGGGACAGCCGAATAAGTTGCTTGTCAGTCTCACAGACCCTGTGGGCCTTCGAGGACATGCAGTAGATCTAGGGTGTGCCCGAATTGGTATGCCAAACCAATCAAAACGCACACAACTTGTCCACAATTTTTATATGTTGGTGGTTGGGGCGGATTAGGCGGGATGAGGTATAGATTGAGTCCAACTCATTTTATAAAATATTGAACCAAGTCTGACCCTAATTCTATTTTTAACTCTTATTTCTCAACTCGAGCTCAACCCACTATTCTACTATTAAACTCGGATTTATAATTCAAACATAGATTTTATGCTAGAAAGTCGAGTTAATTCGGGTTACCTATATGGTCAATCTTCACAGTAGAAAAATTAATGTGATCTTGAATTAATTTTCAATTAAATCACCCTTCAATAATAAAAAAATTATAAACCTATTGCAAATTTTTAATAAATTATTCTTTAAAAATTAATTATCTTAAATGTTAACATACAATAACTTAAAATTTAACGAATGAAAAAAAATATTGATCATAATTTGAATATTATATATAATGCATTTTAAATAAAAAATAATAATATTAGAATTTGAGTTAGGGTTGGTCTCGGGTTTCTAACACTTCAACCTAAGCACAACCCTAGTTAAGATCGTGTTGAGATTTTTCAATCCAAATCCAAACCTAATTGTAAAAATGATTCCAACCCAAGTTGCACCCATAGTTGGTGGGATATCGGGCATATCAATGATATGGTATGCAGAGTACATCATCTCAAGGACATAACTCACCTTATTTTTGGGCTCGCGGTCCAGATTGCGGAATTTGAAAATCTGGAGGCTTAACAATGCGGACCAATTTTTTTTTAACAGCCTACTTCATTTAAATCAAGCAACGGCTCTAAGGGCATGTTTGGCCCACACTATTGTCCAAAAAAAGGTTTTTGGCACCCTTTTTTTGTCTACACTTTACTGAAAATAAATAGTCGTTAAGCATTGTTTGGCTAACACAAATAGTGCAAAAAAATAGCTTTTAGTCGAGAAAAAGCCAACAAAAATGTTTGATTTCACTTTCTTCTTTGTTTTCCCCTTTTTTGCACGAGACTGAGAATAGAGTCGATAAGGCACTGTTTTATAATCCTTAGGATATTTATATTTTTAATCCATAAAATGGATATTGTATTGTTTAATTTTTATTTATTTTTAATCATGGGGCATTTCTTGAGTATGAGTTATACCTATGAAAGAAGAATAATTTGTTTATCAGATTTGGTTGTGTTTTTCAACTATGTATGTGCCTCGTAATAAAATAGGTAGGTTAAGAGTTTCCCTTAAATCGAGAGGACTTAAACGGCCTAGGCCTAATGAGGGGGTGTTCATGGTCCTAAGGTGAGAGCCCCTAAAACCGAAGGATGGGGAAGGCAGTTCCAAGGGGAAGGTCCTTAGAGACGCGTGAGGGTACACAATGTTGGTTTGAAAACATTATTATTGTCTACAGAATTTGCTAACTTAGATGAACTATTTGTTGTGGTTTTGTGGAGTCTGATCACGTGTTGATTACGTAAAGGATTTGGGAGGTTCAAATTTGTCGATTTGGTTCCTACGTTGGCTACTGGCACATTTGAATCGGTTTAATGTGTTTGAACTGGTTCAACTGAAGTGGTAAATTTGAACATTGGCTACTGCCAAAGTTGAACAAGTTCAAGGCACTTGAACCGGTTCAAGTGAGGTAGTGAGTTGTAACACGTTTGGGCAACAAAGTTGAATCGGTTCAAGTGAGCTAAACCGGTTCAACTCCCTTGGGAACGTACGTGATTTAACTTCCTTATTGGTTTTGGACTTTACAAAAGGTAAGTTCTTGTAGGACAAGTTATGTTCCATTGTCTAGGACTATATATATTAACCTTCTTCATATTTTAAGGTTATGAGATAACTTGAAGAAAGGATTATCATACGTGTTGTATAATTGATTAATTTGTGCCAACACAAAAAAAGAGCAATTAAGAAAGATTGAAGAAAATTCTCCATTGTAATTCTTCATCTTTTTCATAATAGAATTTGTTCGGTGCGCACCATGAACGTAGCCCTAAGATTTAGGTGAACTTTATATATCTTATGTTCTTGTGTATGATTATTTTTTTATTCTTCGTGATTACTTGTGTTTATTGCTCGAACAACATTGTTTTTTGCATTTTTGCCATAACAACTGGTATCAGAGCATTCGGTTAATTTTGTAGCAACTGTAACAACTGGTATCGGGGCATTTGGTTGAGAACCTAGGGCATAGAAGGTGTTTAACGAAATTCTAAAAGTCTTTCGATCAAACATGTCCGTTCGAGTGGGAGTAATGACCTCAGAAGATAAGACAACCATATCCATGATCGAGAAGTTCAATGGCACAAACATCAATTTCTGGAAGATGCAAATTGAAGACCTCTTGTTTTAGAAGAATCTGTACCAACCTTTAGGAGAGAAACTAGGTAAAATAAAGGATGCATAATGGGAATTACTTGATACTAAGGCTCTTGGCACCATCAGATTAACGTTGTCAAAGTTAGTTACCTTTAATATCAAGAACGAGAAGACGACGAAGTCTCTCATGGCAGGGCTTTCTAGTATGTATAAACAGCTGTCTAGAGCAAACAAGGTGCACTTGATCAAGAAGTTGTTCAACATGAAGAAGGTCGAAGGTGGTAGATTCAACGATCATCTAAATGCGTTCAACGAGATAGTTGGCTAATTAGAGTCTATTGAAATTGACTTCAAAGACGAGGTTCAAGCATTGCTAATTCTAGGGCAGTTACCTGAGAGTTGGAATGGCACAGTTACAACGTTCAATAGCTCTACAGGGAATACCAGTTACAATGTTTAATAGCTATTTGGAGTGGCAAAGTCTTGTTATTTAATTCTATATAGCATGTATAGGTAAGTAACAACTCATGGTGTCTATGTGCGCGCGCACATACATAATCTGTGTTGATTTATTATTTATGATTTTTTTTTTTAGGTTATAAAAACAACAAATTTGCATAAGGAATGCAATAATATTGTAGTCTAAGGTCTTTAAAAATATATATATATTGTAGTCTAAGGTAAGGGTGACACTTGGGTGGGTCAAGGGGTTAACACAAGTCAAAGTCAACGTTTTAACACTTTAACCCGCATCAAATTCAAGTATAGAGAAACCCATCACGTCCCATCCCACGCTATACTGTACATCCCAAATTTTAATAATCTATTAACAAATTAATATTAAAAGATAATAAAATGTTAGGTTCACTTGCCTAAACCGTTCAAAGGTGTGACAAAAGTGTAATATGAGCTTATATCAATAATATGATCTCATATGATGAATACGATTGATGATATTATAAATAATCTAATTTTAGAATGATGATATTATAAATAATCTAATTTTAAATATAAAAGTTATAAACTATTTTTATATTTCGACTTTTTGGGGGTTTTTTGGGTTGTTCAGGTTACTAAAACCTTTGTCTAAATTTCGTCGAAAATAAATTTGGACTCTAAAATTTAAACCTAATCCCATCCCCCGGTCTCAAATACCTTATCCATTCCTATAAAATTTTTGGGAATCGAATTACTCGGGTTAGTCCCACCCCTAATATGAGGTGAAAACATAGTTTGTGCTTAGGCTAATAATGAAGCAACTTAATATAGAGCTTTATTGAATCTTAATGAAACAATCAATTTGTGATCAACTAAGTTTAACCAAATTATGCTCTGAATGACGATCAATGTACACTTGAAAGTTAGTGCATTTTTCATATAAGGAAAAAGTTGATTTGCTTTGTTTAGCAATACTTCTTTTTAATGTCTTAAAGCTATGTTTGCTCTCTTTGTGATTGTTTGATAGCTCCTTCTATATTTCTCTATCATTCACTCATACATTCATACATACACGTACACCAAGGTCTCTATGCATTAGCTTAGGATAATCGACTGCCCAAAGTAATTTTCATATAGTTCACCATCACCATTGAATTTATAGTTCTATCTCGATAAAATCGTATATCTGCCACTTCTTCTTCTTCTTACTCTGCTTTGTCTCAACAGTTGGAACCAACAACAAGAGGCTGCGGTAAGAACAAGAAGAAGGCAGAAACATAATTGGAGGAATAATTGATTCGATCGATGATGGTTGTATTCTTTTGGTGATCTCTACGTTGCTCGGGTTTCTTTGTTTCTGATATTTGACAATTTAAAATTTTGAGTGATGAAGTAGCTATTTGGTTATGTAAAGCTAAAATTTGATCTTAATTAGTTTTATATCAACACTGCAGGTAATGACGACTAATGGAATTATCAACAGGTAGCCGGTGCACAGAGGAGTGAATAATCTAGTGAGGCAGAAGAAGAAAGAGAGAGATTGGACCATCAGAATTCTAGGTTGTATAGAAATGTGAAAAACTATGCTTAAATGATTTTCATTTTTAGACTTTGTTTTCTTTTCTTGTTATATACGTATGCTGCAAAGACATATACACTATTATATCGAATTAAGTGAGATTCACTTGTTATATTATTTTACAAACAAATGTATGTCATATTCTTCTCGAGCCTGTATTTATACAATATATATATATATATATATACACAATTGTTTAAATATTAACTAATCTTCTCAATTCTTTAGCTATAGTTTCCCTTCTACAAATGCTGATTCTGCTGCAATTGTGTGTGTTTGACTTCAAATTATGGTTTTGCCTTGGTGGAGGCTTAGCCAATTGAAAAAGTTTATTGGTTTTTTTTTTTAATTAAAAATTTTTAAATTATTATTTTTAGACGTAGTGTTTTTCTATGTTAACTTGTTTCTAGTTTGAACTGACTGTTTGGCTTGGTTTTGTTGATCACTAGGTATGCCTCTTTGATTTCGTAACTTATTTGTTTTTTTATTCAATATCAAGCTTGACTAGCCAAAAAAAGAAATTAAAAAAAATAAAAAATTTGTGGTTCGATTTTGTTATGATTTAAAGAGCAAAAATTCAAAATGAGTTATCTGAACTGCAGAATGGTTCCATATATGTTGTTGGCAAGTTTACGTCTAGTCCATGGACTCGTTTAGCATTTGTTTTGTTCAGAATAAGGGGAAAAAATGGCAAACCTTGCAAGAATGAATAATGGGTGGATAAGATAGTAATTTCACAAGTTAGTC